ATCTAGGGAGCTGCTTTCCAAGACTAGTGAGAGGAGTTGGGGATGAAGATACATAAAGGGATTATCAATAAGTTGCTAAAGCAAAAGCAAAGGAAAAATTGAATGACTTTCTTTTTTTCTTCTCCTCCTTCTCCTCCCCCTCCTCCTCTTCCTCCTCCTCCTCTGTCAATTAAATTCATAGAGAAATAATCCCAGTTGTCCCCCTCTCTCTATGTATTTCCTATTTGTCCTGTAAGACCCAACCTAACATGATTTCTCGCACAGTTCTTAGGACAATATTGGTATCACTGATATTACCAATTAACAGACAAACTGGAAAAATGAAAGACTAAATAAACAAAACAAAACAAAAACAGACTCTGTGTGTGTGTGTGTGTGTGTGTGTGTGTGTGTGTGTGTGAAATGTTTCCCATTTACTCATCTGAATTCCTATAGTACTTGCTGTTTTGACTGTTAGGTCCCATGTATATGTGACCTTTTCCAACTCTTTTTCTTTTTTTTCCCCTACTTATGTTTTACTAGCTGAGAAGCTATTTAAACACAAGACTACTAAGTAAACATCTTTTTATAACCCACTGCTTATAGCAAACTGCCTTGTCCAAGGTTAGCGCTAATTAAGGTCTTCATTTTGACAGAAGCAGGCAGAAACTTAACATAGAGTTTGTGTGTCTATGTTCCTCAAAGAGGAAAACATCAAATAGCTTTCCTATTTGAACATTTACTGGGTGTCTATCACAACGCTCATCTGATTACATACATTATCTTATTTAATCACATTAAACCACAACAGATCAGAAGGCTGGCATTATTATCCCCACTGAAGAGATGAGGACACAGACTTGGAGAGCCTATATGATGTGTAGAGAACTCTAAGGACTGTGAATAGCAGAGCTGGGGTTTGTACCATCATATCCCCGATTCCTAAGCCCTTGGTAATCATAAGTGTACTCTGTTTACTTTTCTTTTGCTGCTGCTTTCTCTTAAAAAGACATAGCTTTTATTATCATTGTTTCTGGAATCTCAATTTCAGCAACAAGACCATCCCTTTGCCTGCCAGTGAGTTTCTAGGCCACAGCCACTGAGTAAGCCTGGGGTACAGCCAAAAGTTAAGGAAGCGGGTGCCACAGTTATTAGGGAAGTTGTTGGCGTTGCTCCCTATGCCTGTTCTGCCCAGCTCCTCCCATATACAAGATACTCTGGATCTGCTCTCCCAAGGACAAGGACGAAAGGACTGAGGCTGATGAAGACAGATCCACTCTACTCCCTTCTCTTAAAAGAGGAAGAGCACAGACTTGCCTAGCTCAAGCTCTTATCAAGACAAGATGAGGAGGAGGAGTAGTAAGTAAATTTAACTACAAGTTAAATTCTTAAGCTCCCATCACTGAGGAGGAGTTTTAATCTCAGGCAGCTGACCCTTTTCCAGCCAACTCCGACTATGGAGCATAACCGTCCAGTACAGCTTACTCCTTTATACAGGAGCCTCCATAAGGCTCTCAGGGACCTGAAGTTTTTCCAACAAATCAGACTTATCTCCGTGCATATTTACTTGCATTTTATAAATACCTTATTTCCTACCAACAATCAATTATGGTAAAGATTAGAATGAATTATAAACAATGAAGTTTTAACCAAACACCCTGATCAATCTTCACAGGAACCCTGTGAGTAATCCAAAATCCCCATTTTTCTGATTAGGAAACTGAACCTTAGGGATGTTAAGGGACATGCCCAAGCTCACTCCAACCACAACTGGCCTCACCAGGATGTTAAAGGGGAGGAAAATGTTTCTCTTCTTCTCTTCTAGGTTCTTTGGTTGGCCTAATAGTTAAGTTGACAAAGACAGATTAACAAGAGAAAAATAAAGTATGAGGCTTTTAAAGGAGGAAAGCAACCAGCTTTATACATAGTAGACAAAGAATACATATGTGAGGTATTGACAAAACAAAGGGGTTTGGCTTGGGGGAACTAATTAGTGAAGATATTACGAAGTTTGCTTATACAGCCTTCTTGGTCCCAAATTCCCAATCTCTGGTGATAAGGGTGTTTCTCTACCTCCTGGCACAAGGAGGGTATCTTTGCATGAGAGATTTATTTTCTGCTTTCAGGGAGACAAAGGAAGTCTAGGAAGACTATGTCCTTCTTACAGCTGTTTTTTCTTAAGTAACTCTAATTCAAGGTAATTAATACGCCAGTGTGGCATATTTTCGAGTGCCCATTCTCCTTCCCTTCATTGTGAACTTATCTCCTGTTAATCTGATTGCTTCTGTATAGCAAATTTGCCTGACAAATAATAATGCTCTCCATTTGTATAATGCTTAATAATTTTAAATGTTTTCCATCTGAATGATCTGGTTTCATCCTCCTAGCAGCAGGCCATGTTCCCTCTTTCACAGATGAAGACATTGAAGCCCAAAGCATCGAAGAAGATATTTGAGATGAGGGAACTTAGCCAGTGAGTGGCTGCATCCGATCCTAAAGCTGCTCTCAGGCTAAGTCCCACCATTGCTCCTGTTAGTGCATGCCATGTGGCCCTTCATTATAGAAAGGTCCATTTTATAACCATCTTTTCTGTCAATAGCATGAAAACAGAGTTGTATACATTTTCAAAGGCACACATAGTTGACTGAGAAGGAAAAGTATATTTAGGGGTGCAGGGATAAAGTCCAAGGAAGATGCCAAAATGGGAGGCCCTGGGTATCTGAAGTCCAAGTCTTAAGGAGCAGCATGTGGGCAGCAGCTCGCTGAGAGCAAGGCTTCTGTGGTGGAGCCATAAAGTCCTACAGCAAAAACTTGTCAGCCTTGGCATCTAACAGAGCTGTATTAGAGTCAAGCCCTGATTCTGCTAACTAAAGACTATGACCTTGGGTTATTACCTGCCTATCTCAGTACCACTTTCTCTATCTGGGAAATAAAGAAACAGTCATGCCCACTTCATGGACAGACTGGAGGAGGGAGTAGATAAATACACATGGCATTGTCTTACACAGCATGCACCACTGAAGAGAGAGAATGAAGTCAAGATTCATGTACAAATGGAGGTGATGATATTTGGGGGCTGGTGTGGAAAGAAAGTATACAGCAGGGTTGAAGTCTAGCTCTGTCTCCTACCCTGTTCCTGGTACCAATTGTGAGTTTAAAATATCAAATTTATTCTACTTTCTTTGGTCTTACATTGACACTGTCTTTGATAATATAGCACATTCTAGAAATTTCTTAAATCTTCACAACCATCCAGTGGGAGAGGTACTGGAGGGGGATACTCCTTCATGTTACCCATGCTGTATGATGTATGCCCTGCTAGACAGAGGAACATACTCATGGAATCAATGACAGGAGAGGGCCAAGAAATCATGTTTTTAGCCCAAAATACTCATATTGGCAGGACACCCACAGCCAACCCCAGAATCTGAGCTTGAGGAAAACATTGGAAGTCATCCACCCATCTTCCACCCAAGGCAGGACTTCCTTGTGTTGATTGTGTTATCAGAGATCTCCACACAAACTTAGGCACTTTGTTTTCTGAAATTTTTTGTGTGTTCAAGCATGCCTCCAGACCCAGAGTCTACCACTAACCTATAAGACTCTTCTCACCTCCATTCATCTAAACAAGAGGCATCTGCTCCAACCAAGAGGTTCCACTCACTGACAGAGACCAGAGCCTGCCTTTCCAAGTCCTGCTCTGTTCTCCCCTATGTGTGCAATGAACTTTCTTTTCCTTTCATCCAGACCAGATGTATTTCTCCTGTAAGGTCTAACTTGAATTGTTTCCCATAAGTGGTCCCTCCATATTTCATACCAATCTCTTTCATTTCAATTTGAAGCGTATATTATTCACACAATCTATTTGGAAAATTATCATAGTGTAGCCTGTGATGCCATTGACATATACTCATACCTTACTGTACTACCTTCTTGCCTTCTCCTTAAGAGAAGGAACGGTCATTTTTATTTTTTTGTCAGCTACATTTTATGGACTGGTACCTAGCACATAGTAAGAATTTGATAAATATTTGTTGAGTCATAAATTTAAAAGAAGAAGGTTTCTTGGAATTGTGATTAACTTACATAAAATTAGTGCCCCCATATAAATAATAATGATAGTTTCCATTTATTGGGCCTCATTATTTGACAAATACTCTTCTACACGTTCCAAGGGGATTATCTGATCTTATAATTGCAGTAACACAAAGTATGACAAAACAAAGGAAGAGAGGTTCTTCCTAGTTTGCTAGGTGCACATCTGGTAATATGGTAGAATTGAACTTTGATCTCAGGTTGTTTGACATCAGCTCACATTTTTAACCACTGTTTTATATTGGTTTTCAGTAGTTGGCTGAGCCACCTAGTATTTCTTTACATAAAGTAGTTTTGTTTTGGTCATAGTGTTGGCTCACAAGACTCCAAGAAGGGAAGCTACTGTCACCTCCGATTCCTGGAATGTGATTGTATCTCAATAGATTTTCAATCTGGTTTAGATCCTGTCAAACATCCAGTGAAAGAAAAAGTGACGTTGAGTGCATCTACTTTTATACCTGCTCCCACCAGCTCAGTCCAAAATATCCCTTCCATAATTATACATATGCCTTTCTTGCAAAACATGCAAATGCCCAAATAACCTTAGTGGAGTTTCATTTTCCATGGCCGTTCCCTTCTAGCCATAATAGGCCAGCTGGCAAATATCTCCAAAACATAGTTAAAAAAATATATTTTTATCTGTAATGTCACTTGTCCTAGTATCCCCTTAAGCAGCAGGAGGGGGAGAGTGAGAGTGAGAGAGAGATCTATTTTGTGTGATTCTGCTTTTAAAATGCATGGCACTTTGTCCCTTTCAAACAAATGTTTCAATCTTTGAGGAGTTTTGGGTCCTGCGCCCAAGATTTTTTTTTTTTTTTTAAATCACTTTCAAGTTTCTCTATAGTCTTGGCTTATTTGGAATTCAGACTCCTATTTTTAAAAAAAAATAAAGGAAAAAAAAGAGAAATGGGTTTTCTTATCCTGTTTTTTTCTGGAAGGTCAAAGGCCATTCCTCTCATCAATTCATGTAGCTCTGCAGGAACCCAGAGGAGCAGCCATGAAACCCAGCTCTGTCAGGGCATACAGCCGTGGAAAGGAAAGGTTTGCTGACTTAATGAAAGCTCTGGAGCGGGAGCAAACTAGGAAGAACCGTTCCCATGTTCTCCGTGTCAATCCACTGTGTCGGCTCAGTCTTGAAACTGAGGGCAGAGAAAATCTTTGACTCCAAAGAACAACTGAATGAGAGAGAGAGGGACCAAAGGGAGTTAGACTTCTGTACAGACCCTGTAGTATGTTACTGCCTTAACTGCTTTGTCCCCTGGTCGCTGCAACAGTCTCCTGTGTCCTGACCCTGCGTCCAATTCACGCTGACGTTTTCTTAAGTAAGCCTTCCCTTGACCATCCCCTCTCACTGAATAGTCACTCCTCACCCTCCATATTTCAGCTCACTCACTGCTTTATCCTATTTTTCACCACCTCCTCTGAGTCATTTACTATCCTAGACACAGTGGATAGAACCGGGAGCAGAAACAAGGGGAAAAAAGCCAGTATGCAAATAAGCAAGCACATACATAGGATTTCCAGGGTTCAGAAGTGCTGTGAAGAAAAAGGAAGCCTGATAAGGCCACAAATAAGAACCAGACAGGAGGTTTCAGCTGTTCAGGAAAGGTTTCTTGAGTATGGTGACAAAGGAGCTGAGATCTGCAGAATGTGAGGTTGAGACAGGCCAATATTTGAAAGAAAAGCATTCTAGGCAAAAGTAACAGCAATCACAAAGACACTTGGGTAAGAGGAAGTGAGAACTGCAAGAAAGAGAATGTGGCTGGAGGGGAGGACTTGGTAGAGGAACATATGTGACTGATTGGTCAGAGCAATAATTGGGGCCAGATTATAAAGAGGTCTGTAGGCTGTGATATGGGTGTGGGATTTTATTCTAACTGAGATGGGAAGCCAGTGATGATTTTTTGAGGGGAGATGTGATATGATGTGACCTTTGGTTTAAGGAGACACCATGGGGCAAATACGGGTCCTCACGGAGTGACAATGGTAGATGCACCATCTGTGTGACAGTAGTGTGATATGTCAGGTGAGGGAGGCAATGGAATCCAGAGTGGTAGAGGTGGAGTTACTATGAAGTGATTGCATTTTGTGATACATTGGGAAGTTAGTCTCTGCATTAATCACAGTTTTCATGTAGGGTGAGAAAAAGGAGAGAATTAAGAGGACTTTAGAGTTTTGGGTCTGAGAAAATTAAGAACAAAAAGCTGAAATTGCCATTTACTGAAAGAAGATTATCAGCAGAGATGATTTTGGATGAAATATCAAAATTTTGCTTTTGGAACTATTAAATTTGAAATGCCTATTTCAAAGGGAGAACATCCCCTTGGTTCCTCTTACTGATGAATAAGGTTATGTAAAGACAAGCTTGGAGAAAGTGTTATGTCCTCGAGACTTTCAAATCCGTCTTCTCTAGGAGTTTCCAAACCTGGCTGCTCACAAGACACAGAAGATAGGTTTCTATTTCTTTGTCAACAGTATGTCTCTACTTATGGAATCACTTTTGACAGAATTTGTTTCAGCAGCCCCATGACCACAACAAGCATGGTGCTTCTTAGTAGGATTCCAGAGACTCGGCATACAGTTTTCATGACCAAGATCTATCGCAACAATGCAGTAAGAATACACAACTGTGTCAATAAGGGGAAAAGATAACTCAAGTAGTGTCTAGTGTCTATATCCACATGCAGGCATTTGCTCTCCCTAAAGAGTTCACGAAGAACACATTCTCCCTCCACTCTTAAAAAGCAATAGGAAATTCATATACTGTTCTTCTGCCCAGATACCCGCACTGGAAACTCAGAGGCCAGGATTTTCATTAGGAACTGGTTATGTAGGCATGATGGCTGACCATAACTATCAAGCTCCAGACTCCTAGAAGGAAACCAGGTGATCATGATTGGTACGACAGGCAGGCAAAGTGTTCTTATTACATAGAGAACTTGACAAGATCCAAGTATCCAGACACCAGGCAAGGGCTATCATGCACACAGGCCTTTCCAAAGATTAGGCATGCTGTGTTAATTCTTCCCTGCCTAATTATAGATTTCAGGACAGGAACACTAGCATAGATTCAGATATCACAAGCTATGGAGTGAGACTTAGCTGTCGGTTTTTAAAAGATTTATAGCTAAGTCTGATGATCACCCAGGTTTGAGAACCATCACTTGTAGTTCAACTATAGGAAGCTACTTTTCCAGTAAACACACAGTCAGGCATGGAAGAGGACAACGGAGACACTCTGTCAATAAATAACTGAAGTTTTAGGCGAATTCCCTCACCACTGTTTCCTCATCTGTAAATGAATGGGGATGGATTTAAATGATTCCCCGAAGCCCCATCAGCGCTAATATTTCTCTGGTATAGGTTAGAGAAAGCAGTTGAAATGGAAAGATACAGGCATCTTGCCCAATGAATGCCCTTCCTTACTCCCTCTCTTCACCTTCCTTGAAATCCAGAAAGCAAAGCCCATGGTCTCCTCTCTCTTGAGGGATGCCTGAGCTGAGACATACGGTAAGATCAAGAGATGCAAAGACTGCCTTTAACAGATTTCCTCTCTACATTAATGTCACAAGTGACAAGACAATTTCATAGGAGAAGAAGGAAATATACATAGTTTGTGAGAATGAAAGAAAGAAATTAAAACTTGAAGAGCCAGAAGGGCATCTTGGAGAATTTTAAAGACAAGTCTACCCTAAGATAACTCTACTGATAAATCTAGATTCCCAGCAAGGGGTGGGGGGTGTTCTTTAGCATATTTTCTGTCTGAAATCCTTCACGGGCTTCATGAGAAAACTGTGCATGCATGTTACCTGCTATAACCAAGACGAAATGAGAGACTCAAGTTTGTAACTCTGCCATAGAATTAAGAGATCTTGATGGCAAACTTCTTTGCTTATATTGAGGGTCTACAGAGGGGTTGAGTGGGTGCAAGTGCTCCATTAAGGTATAGATTGGGACTAATAAAAGGATTAACACCTGACATGTATTAAACCCCATTTAATAGAGCAGATCAATACTACTACTACTACTACTACTACTACTAATAATAATGATGATGATGGCAGGTTCTCTTAAAAAGTCTCAAGTTTAAAGAAAAACACCCCTCCCTCATTTATCTTCTCTCTACTAGCTCAAACTCCTCCTGTCTCCTGAACTGCATTCATATACAAGAATATATTAGTATCCCATCAAAATAAACATGGTATCATCTCAAATTTTTCACTTTCTATTCACTACACACCTACCATAAAATGAGATTTCTCCACAAGTGTGTCCATGAACACTGCTCTCAAGTATATCAACAACCTCTCCATTGCTTGATCCTGCCGTTTTCATCTCCCTCAGTCTTCTGACCACATCGACAGAGTTCACCGTTATTCTCTCCAGCTTCTGTGATACTGTACTGACCCAATTTTTCTCTACAACTCGTGGAAAATCCTCTAGCTATACACGTGTGTGTGTGTGTGTGTGTGTGCACGCGTGAGCACACTTGTGTATAGATAGTAGGGACAATATGCACAAGAGTGAATAATACTTGAACTCAATGAATTTTTACATACGCACACATATGTGTAACTATCATCCTGATAGGGATATAAAATATTTTCAGCAGGTCCCCTCCTGCCACCTCCCAGGCAACACACTCCTGCTCCAAGAATTCAGAGCTGTTCGGACTTCTGTAAACCGACATTGCATGGCTCCCAGTAGCAGCAGGAGGTAGTAAGCCTGCTGACAAGCGGTTTGCATACGTCCCTGTGAGAAAATTTATTTCCTTTTAATATCCCATTGGACAAATTAGGTAACATGGGCAAGCCTAGATTAAGAGTAGAGCAAGAGACTCACCTTCTTGTTGAGAGGAGCTGCAAAATCATGGTCATTACAAAAGGATGTCCCTGCTATGCTAAATACAGAGGGAGGGAGAGAGAGAAAGAGAGTGAGAGAGTGAGAGATTTGTCCATATGTCCTCTCCCCATCTACCCGCTCTCCAACTCTGAGTCAAATGACATCAAGACAGGGGAAAATCCTACTGTCTTCCAATTCGTCTCTAGAACCAAGTCCTCTGTAACCTAGATATTAATAAATATTGTATTAAAGGAATTAATGACTAATGGTTGATAGTTTTTTAGGTCCCTGTTTTATAACTTCCACTTGATGTGTAGAGAATGGCCCTAGAGCATGAGAGCTGCAGATTTGCAGGACAAATCCAGAGTGGGGGTACAGTTTACCAACATGAGTGGATATTACAGATCATGCTGCCATGACAACATCTCCCCATATCCCCATGTTCCAAGTCAAGGAAAAATCTGTAATTTTTGATGTTGCTATTCTTTTAGAACCTCTGCTTCTGTTTGGTTTTCTTGTTAGTTTTCTGCCAGAGGAATTGTTTATTGTCCCTTCTGCTTTCAATTACATTCAGTAATAAGGCTAATGATAATAACAGCTAATATTTGTTGAGTGCTTAGAATGTGGCAGGCACTATGATACACATCTTTAATTATTACATTTCATTCTCAAAATATTTTTATGTAGTAATATTTTTATTTCCATTTCAGAAGCTAGGATCCTTACCTTCAGAGAATGAAGCAACATTCCAAGGTATCAAAGAAAATGTGGTAGGACTCAGACACAAGACTATCTGATTCCAAGCTCATTATCTTAAGCAACACACCATTCTGGCTCTCATGGATATATTTGTTTAGAATTTTTAGAGTTAAAAATTTAATAGAATTTACCGACATGAATAGATTCTATGGATTGTACATAACTTTGAATGTCATCTGGTTCAAAATCCAAAGTTTGAAATACTTGGCAAACACCCACCTGGTTATTTTTGTAATCCCTCCAGTAATAAGGTAGCTAATGGCTTTATTAGAAAGCCCATGACTTTCTAAGGTACAAAATGTATTTCATGATCATAATGAAGTTGAAACCCAACAGATTATCTTGAATTGTTAGGTATACTAATATTATAATCTACCGTCTCATTGCCCGTAAATTGGTAACAATCAAACACAGGAACCCCATGGAGATTAGGTTGACAGTGCTCTAATTTTATTGCTGGCAAAGCTGGATTGGAATTGTTTATGGCTTCCTACTACAGACCTCGATTTAAATTGAAATGCCAGATCAGAAATGGGGAGACTGGGAATGAGAGATTTATTTCATTGGGAGGAAGGAAAAAGAGCAAAGGATCTGGGCCTGTCAAGCTCTGTAATGTGAGGCAAATATTCAACATTTAGGAGAAAAAGAAACATTCAGATGAGCCCTCAGGCCAGTATGTTAAATCAGGATCCATGCCTCTTTCAATGGGAGAGAATCCAACTGATGTCAGATTCTCCCTGAGTATCTATTATCAGATTAGGAAATTCCTCTTCCAGAAGGGACAGGGAGGGAAGGAATTGGCAAACTGAAACAAAAGTACTCACTCAGAAATGCCAAATTTGGAATGCATATGTGTGTATGCACACATGTTTGTGGATCAAGGAAACTGAACTAAAAATCTCCTCACGGAATCCTGGGGAAGTGAGAAGTGCCCCTCCCCCACCCCAACAGTACTCATGCATCATCCAGTGGAAAGGAGTGTGGTTCCTCTTTCATAACAAAGCTGAAGTAAATGATGGTGACTATAAGGGAAATAAGGGGTGTTATTTAGATAAATTATCTTTCAGATCTGTTTCAGAGAATGTTTCCCCTGTAGTTTGTTCCTTAAGAAAAGGGTTTATTTTCCTCCTCCCCTCCTTTGGGCCTAGAACTCTGGGGAGTGCAGTTATCCTCCTGTCTGGAAATCTATAAAACCCATTAGTCTATTAAAGGATATGGAAAGTACAACAGTCAAAACAAAGCAAACAGCCGTTAAATATAACTATCAATCAGTCATTTCCCCATATAACATTTTTTATTAGTCCGTAGAACTAGTGTCTGAGAAAACAGAGGTCACCACTTAACTATCGTTCAAGTTGTACACTGCACAAATCCTGAGGATCACTTTTACCTTATTGTTCTCCTAGCTTTGTGTAGCTATTATTTCAATTTCCCGGCAGATGGCAATAAAGTTTCTTGAGGAAGGGATGTCTTTTCTTTTCTTTTCTTTCTTTCTTTTTTTTTTCTTCTTTTTCCAATTCACCTGAATTCACCCTTTACTGAAGCTAGAAGAATATCCCTATGCATCTCAGAGTTACGCGTTTCACTGGCACTGAAAGAAATTGTGTGATCCAAGACATGGTTCCTTTAAGGTAGTAAGCTGAGTTGTACTCCTTCAGGGTTTTTAAATAACATAAAATTGGTGTTCCAGGAAACATTAAATTCAATTTACCTCAAAAAATATCCAATACCTTCAACTGGAGACATATTTTTTTTTTCCTTCTTCAGAACCTAATAAAACCAGTCAGCAAACAAATGGGTTTCCTCTCTGACATGGGACAATGTGCCACGTGAAACCAGAGTTCTTTCCCCCAAGGCAGTAGCATTAGTGGACTTCATTAGTTACAGGGATTCTGGTTACCTGTGGATTTGTAGGAGTCCCCTGCAACAGTGATTAGCCAATGAGCTGGCAGACGGGGTGTCTTCCTTCCAATTTGGCCTTTGCGACACCGGTGATTTTGGCATGTGAATGGCTGTCTACTCCCATTTCCTCGTACGGGAAATCGAGGTGATCATGTCTGCCATTCTCGCCTTTTGAGACTGTGGAGCTGAACCACACTCAATTGATTTAAAAAAAAAAAAAGTGAAAAGACATTATAAACCATAATTTAATATATAAAATACAAAGGATTCTAAAATTTCCATTTTCTCCTTAAGGCAAAGGTCACGAGCTGTAGTCTTTAAAGGGCCAGTTAGGTAGTTCTATCAGCTATGAAGCTATTGACTCTCCACTTCTAACACACGCCTCTTTATACCATTTTGTACGTCAGCTTCTGCAAACCTCCTGGCTTAGCAAACTACTAGAAACTGCCTCCAGAGGGTGCTGGAGGGAGTCTGGGGGCTAGAGGAGGGACGAAGAACTTGCTCCTTGCAGTCCTGCTAGGATTTCAGTGCGTGCATTTGTCCTCTTTCTACTTTGCATTTCTTTGTCTATCACTGTGGGCATCGCATTTCACCACCCCCATAAAAGCAGTCCTTTCCAGAATGAGCAGTTCCTCCTCGTGTGCCAACTGTCCAGCCTTCACAGGTTAAGCCTTATTGTGCCTTTTCCAAGACCCACGCCCCAACCAGTGTCCTTTTCTGCAAAAGCCCAGGGTGCCCCTCAGGGTTCCTTCTGGGGGGCTTATTTTGCTCTTGAGGGGCTCTCCCAAGACCTGTGCATTTTAATAGGTACAACCACTTCCCTGTTTTTCTCCGAACCCCTGAGGCGTCAGCAATGGCTTCCTGCAGCCAGCTGCGTGGGTTCCCTCGCCTCCCTGCCTCCTGACTAATACAGAAGCAGAAACCAAGCGGACTTGGGATAATTGTTTTTCGTACACATTTACTCTCGATTTGCATAGTAAACATATAATAGTCTCCACTTCTACAGATTTATGTGTTCTCTTTCCTCTCTTCCTTTTTCTTTTTATTGAAGCATGTAATGCTCTTGCACTGGTTTAATTTACACGTGTCTGCTAAACGTGTGTGTCCAATGAATATTTCACTTTTCCATTAACGTTATTGGAAAAATTCGAAGACAATTACAACAAAAAAGGCAACTCTCCCTGGAACGCAGTATTGAGGAGAAAGAGGGAGTGATGGGGACAGTGACAAAACAGGGAGGACATACTGAAGTGGAGAATTGATTTGTTTGCTGATGATTACAAGGGGGGCACCACTAGATCCTCGAATGCTTCGTGAGACAACAGAAATCCAGAGTTTTGTGTTCTCAATGTAATGCTCACAACTTACGGAAAAGAACATTAAATATCGCGCTGGCTAACATTGGGTGGCACAAACAATAGCCATCCGTGGGACAGAGCTGGTCTAGGAGGTGTCAAAGTTGCTTTCTGGCAACCGCTACTGTTTCTATAAGCCAAATTTTCATGCATATACTCATACTCTTGGAAAATTACTTTGCAACGGAAGGAGAACATACCCCCTGCAGCCATGAAGAAAGCCCAGTTATTAATGGAAGTCTTTGACCACATAATCATGATTTTAGAAAGTCCTATTAAGAAGTAACTGCTCTTTATTACTGAAACAATTTAGGAAAAAGTTGATGTTGAAAGGTTTTGAGGGATAGAGGCTCACTTGGAAAGAAAATCGTCTAAATTACCTTTTAAAACCACTTGAATATAATTGACATTTCTATCCAAAATAGAAACCTCAATATAGTAATAGCAAGTTCCAGACCCATGAATGGTATTAGCAGTTCTTTGTACAGAACAACTGCTGTTCACTAGGGGAACTCTGAAAAGTTTTGGAAAATGTTGATTGTGGGTTATCATCTTTCAGTAGCATATGATTTTGGAACTTTTTAATGGTAGATAATTGGGCCAAATTTGTAGTTTGAGATATTCTTGCACATGCTGGTGGACTGAACATAGTATTTACAGTGGGAAGATTCCAGTTTTAGTTTACAATCAGTTAATTTGCCAATGAATCATTAATTTAATGGGACTAGCTGTTTGTTGATTAAGAAGTTGTGAAGAAAGATTGTCTTTCTTTTCACTTTCGTTCAACCCGTTTAAATTACCTTCATCCCTTCCTATCTTATCCTATTTCCAGCCGCCAGAGTGTTACTGAATTTTCACTTCCCACCTACCTAGATAACATTTTTGAAGACTTTATTTTTTTAGAGCAGTTTTAGGCTCATGGCAAAACGTATAGAAATCTCCCAGAGACTGTGAATATACCTTGACACATGATCATAACCCATAACCCAAAGTCCATAGTTTATAGTTCACTCTTGGTATTGTATATCCTGTGGGTTTAGATAAATGTACAATGACATATAACCATCATTACAGTATCACACAGAGTATTTTCACTGCCCTAAAATATCCTCTGTACTCTACCTAGTCATCTCCCCACTTCACTCTAACCCCCTGGCATCTACGGATCTCCATAGTTTTGCTTGGGAGCTCATTTCTTTGTAGCGCTGAAAAATATTCTCTTGTCTGAACGTGTCCCAGTATTATTTATCCATTCACCTACTGAAGGGCATCTCAGTTGCTTCCAAGCTTGGGCAATTATGAATAGAGCTACTATAAATATCCATGTGCAGGTTTTTGTACTGACACAAGTTTTCCACTACTTTGGGTAAAATACCAATGAGTGTGATTACTGAATCATAGAATACTACATTCGGTTTTGTAAGAAATGCCCAAACTCTTTTCCAAACTGTCTGAACCATTTTGAATTCCCACCAACCATGAGTGAGAGTTCCTATTGATCTATATATCCTTGCCGAGTATTTGATGTTGTTGCTGTTCTGGATTTTGGGCATTGTAATATGTATGCCATGAAATGTCCTTGTTTTACTTACTTTTATTTCCCCCATGACATAATGCCTTGAGGAGAAGCATCTTGATAGGCTTTGTTTTGTTTTTTGGTTTGGTTTGTTTTTTTCTGGGCCATTTTTGTGTATATCTTCTTTGATGAAGGGTCTGTTAAGATCTTTGGCTCATTTTTTAATCTGGTTGTTTGTTTCCTTATTGTTGAGTTTTAAAATTTCTTTACTTATTTTGTCTAATAGTCTTTGTCAGATAAGTCTTTTGAAAATATTTTCTCCTAGTCTGTGGTTTATTTTCTTATTCTCTTTACTCTCTTCTGGGGAACAGATTTCTTTCTTTTTTTTTTTTTTTCATGGATCATGCCTTCAGTGTTATACCTAGAAAGTTATCACTCTACCCAAGATCATCTATATTTTCTTCTATGCATTATATTCTAGGAGTTTAATAATTTTGCATTTTATATTTTTGTCTGTGTCTCATTTTGACTTAATTTTTGTGAGGAGTGTGAGGTCTGTGTCCAGGTTCTTTTTTTTTTTTTTTTTTTTTTTTGTAGGTCAGATATCCATTTCTTTTCAGAACCATTTTGTTGAAAAGACTTTGTTTGCAGGGCACTGGGTGGCTCAGTGGGTTAAGGCTCTGTCTTCGGCTCTGGTCATGATCTCAGGGTCCTGGGGCTGGGTCCTGCATCACATTAGGTTCTCTGCTCAGTAGGGAGCCTGCTTCCCCCACTCTCTCTGCCTGTCTCTCTGCCTGCTTGTGATCCCTCTCTCTCTTTCTGTCAAATAAATAAATAAAATATTAAAAAAAAGGACTTTGTTTGCTTTGCCATTTTGTCTTTGTTCCTTTGTCAAAGATCAGTGGAGTACATTTGGGTCTATTCTGGACTCCCAATTCTGTTGAATTGTTTCATTTGTGTGTCACCAACAGGACGTTGTAGCTTCATAGTAAGTCTTGACATCAGGTAGTGTCAGCCCTTCAACTTTTTTCTTCTCCTTTAATACTGGGTTGTCTATTTTGCATCTTTTATCTCTCCGTGTGATCTACAAACTTTTAAATATTTTATGGATTTCTTTTTTAAAATGTTTTGTTTTTCTTCTACCCCTGTTAAGCTGTTTGTATAGCTGCCCTCCATGATTCCGTAGTTTTTCTTCTAAGACTATTTCAAGTGAGACCTCTCCTTATTAACTGTTGTATATTTTAGGTTTAATATTCAGTCCTTTTCCTTCTTTCCCCATATCCTCATCCTGAACAATTTTATCTACACTATTTGCTTGAATTATAGTTTATGTTATGATAGATCCTATGGTGCAGATTTGGTTCCAACCTCTTTCTTGATTTCAGACAAACCATGCCACATGACTTTTGAGCCTCCCCAGCTGGCCGTTAAAGGACTCCCCATCCCAACATTATCACAACAGATAACTATTTTTTCCCCCTCTTTTCCATCAGCTTCTATCATCTCTCTTGGAATGAAAACCATTAAGCCTGGGCATTCGTTCTCTCACTTATGTCTCAAGCCAATGAGTCAGGACACCTCCTGTTTTCTTGCCTTGTAGGACTTTTAAAGTCTCTTTAACTTCTCCTCATTTTCACAACAGCTATCCTCTCAGTCAAGAACCTAAATTCCTCTTATCTGTACTTCTACTACAAGCTGTGAAAAAACCATTCAGGTACTTGTCATGTCATAAATCAACTCATTGTCCACTTGTGGACAGAAATTTTACCACAGCACAATTACAATCTACTTTTCTGTCTAAAAAACACACATTAGCTTAGTTTTTATACTTTGTCCTCTGGCTGTGATTGACTCTGCAGCTTTCTTTCTGTGTTCCCCTTGTTCCCTTTGCTCCTGTGTCCATATAGGATCATTTTCTTTTCATCGAACTTACCTTGATCTTGATCTTGATCTTTGCAGGCCATTCTCAACCTCTTTCCTTTTGTTATGTATTCAGTATTCTTTTCTAACCATCTTTCCTTTTATTCGGTGTTGAATTTATCTATTTGATTGCTGGTGTCTCTAGTTAGACAAAGGAAGGTATAAAGACCATGACCTACATAACAAATCCGATTAGTTAGTAGATGTATGAAGCTCTGCGTTGACAAGATTTCTGAAGGTTGGTTGAACTAAGGAAAAAATAACATGATTGATTATTATTGTCTGCTCCAGAGAAGATACCAACTGACACATATTTGTATTCCTTGCACTAGAAGGCATCACATTTATCTAAGTATTATCGAATATTATTGGATCATATTTATCTGAGCACCTGTTATATGTAAGGCACTATGTTAAGACCAATTTGTCTATAATTTTACTCTTCTAATCATTGTTTGTGGAACAGAATCCTTAAATGAGGAGAAATAAACTGCTAAGTTGTATTTTTATATAAGGACGCATAGTACATGGCAAAGGCAGGATTAACCCTATGTCCTCTGACTCAAATACCTGCATGTCTTTGAGAAACCCATGCTACACCCAATGTTCATAAAGTAAATAGATTGGTAGAAGGATTTGATATACTCCTGGTCCTGTGCCAGATATTGTTAGAATAAGGATACAAAAGAAGATATTATCCTTGCCTTCTTTGAGTTCACATGAATGTGACAGAGAATATGGAGTAGCTGACAGAAAAATTAAGACTAGACATTATTCTGCATCTCTACTTGTTTGGGAAAAGCAAATGAGAGAAAGAAAGAAGAGGCATTTTATAATTGCAATGCTATAATGGTGGTAGTGTAAATGGAGATGCTATGAAATCTTTAATGGGGAGTCAAGTACTCCTTATTAAGATAAATTTTATTCTTTTTTAGAAAAACAGACTACCTTATGTCCATTAGGTCTTGCTATTTTAGGCATCCTTTAGCTTTCTTGAGGGAAGTTAGAATGGATGATACCCTTATTATTGGAGCTACAATTAGGTGGTGAGAATCTCACCTTTCTCAAGAACAAAAGGCCATATAAAGTACTGGAAAGAACCTTGATTCCATCCATGGATGGAAATTTTCATCCTACCACTTAGTAATTTTATAATTTTTTTGTAAGTAACCTATTTGTTCTACATCATCCATAAAATGAGGATGATAAGACCTACTTACCGGGATTTTTGTGCTGATGAAGTGAAATAATGCTTACAAAACTCTTGACATGAGGGAGGTGGTGTGCAATGGGAAGTGTGATGGTGACAGCCATGATGCCTATGGTGCTAATGACAATGGGATGATGATGACATCACAGGGGACTTTGGTTAGGATGCAGATCCAGGATCTCCCAGCTCTGTGTTCCAAATCTAGCACCTGAGTTCTGATTAGTCTCTCCAAGCTTAGTCAGCCTCCATTTTCTCTAGGAGTTAACTTCTGCTTGTGTATTCACATACTCAGCAGTAACAACCATACTTTGAATTTTATAATATTTGACAGTTCAGATATTTTCTGATTAATTAATATTACAGAACATACTTGAAAGAAATCCTGGCATGTAAGAAGTCCTATATAAATGTTAGCTGTTATTAGTATTAATGTTATCAATATTTGTTAGTGCATTTAATGATTATATCAATATACCGGGGAGTAGAGGGGCACCTGGGTGGCTCAGTGGGTTAGTCCTCTGCCTTTGGCTCAGGTCATGATCAGGCTTTCTGCTCAGCAGGGAGCCTGTTTTCCCCTCTCTCTCTCTGCCTGTTCTCTGCCTACTTGTGATCTCTCTCTGTTTATATATATATATATAAAATCTCACACTGGGAAGTAAAAAGGGGATTTTTTAATTCCCAGTAAAGAGACTAAGATACCAAATCTCATAAGAGTCTGGTGATTGCCAGCATTTTGCTCTGTTCTCAAGGGCCAGTGACTTTTATTCTTAAGATAACTTCTCCCAGCACCTGTGCATGGCTGCTCACACAGTGCGTTCTTGGTCAATATTGTTAAATCCTTATGTAGTTGATTTATAGAAGCCATAGGAAAACATTGGTTCAGAAGCCTATTTAGGTCTAAGTCAAGGTCTAAGTCAAAGATAACCTCCATATTAATATCAAAAATAAGAATCAAAAAATTAAAACTTGACTCAAACATTTATATGCAAATAAAACAAAAAACTAATTAAATATTCATACTATATAAACTGCACAAAAGATTTGCTTCAAATCACAAGATCTTGTGTTTCCACTGATCCTTCAAATGTCCTCAATTGACTAATTTCCTTGCTTTTGTTACCTTTAAGAAAACTCTGAAAAGGGCTGATAATCAATAATGTACTTAGAGAGTTGGACAAAAGAAGTAAAGGCCCAAGCCCTTGATAGAGGCAAAAATGACTAGGAGATGTTCCTTTGTGATTATCTCTTAAGATAAAGTTCACTTACTGAGCAGAGCTTGGTTCTTCCTCTTTATAGAATGTAGGACAAGAGGCATAGACCTGGAAACTAGCAATCACAACAACTACTTGTTATAGAAACATATTTAACTGAAGTAAAAAGAAAACATAAGTAACTTGATCCAAGTGTTGAGGGAGCACTTGAATTTCTCAACAAATGACAGATCTGAGACAGGCTTCACATTAGGTGAGGTGGGGAAGAGGTTCTCTGCTACACAAATAATTCGAAGTCCAATATTTTGTACAACAATGTTCATCACTCAGTATGTAGTCAGAAGTATTTCATGCAAAGATGGTGGTTACACTGAAAGTTTAAAAAAAAAAGGTGAATAGTGGTAAATAAGATAAAATGGGTATAGGGAAGTCCATGTTAAGTAACTCAACCTTATTACCAATAATATTTCCCAAACATCTTTATATGTCTGTTACTAAAGATATAGATCATTTTTATTGAGTTCATATTCATTTCTTTTTTTTTTTTTTAAGATTTTAGTTATTTGACGGAGAGATCACAAGTAGGCAGAGAGGTAGGCTGAGAGAGAGGGGGAAGCAGCTCCCTGCTGAGCAGAGAGCCCGAAGTAGGACTCCATCCCAGGACCTTGAGATCATGATCTGAGTCAAAGGCAGAGGCTTAACCGACTGAGATACCCAGGTGCCTGAGTTCATATTCATTTTGAAGCAAATGTACACTATTTCTTTATGAATATTCAAGGTATGACCACTTTTCTATCTTTTTAAATCAAATCTATAGGAAACTTATAACACTACTTACACTTATATTTTAAGTACCTGTTTAATTTTCTCCCAGGAAACTATAATCTTTCTAAGCACAAAAGCTGTGTCTGTCTCATTCACTTAGTCCCTAGGACATAGTATGTTGCTCAATAAAATTTTATTGAATAAATGTGGATGTATCCTGTGCAAAGACACAGACAGAAAATGCAGCAAGGAATGTAAGAGGGTTGCAAGTGGTTTTTCTATAACTGTAGTAAAGAATTCCTGTTGTAGAATTGGGGAGGCAGAGATTGCATTTTAATTCTCTCCCTAATACAATCAACAAAAGGTTTACTTTGAACCTAGTCTATGTTACACACTGTAACTACAAAGATAGGGAAGACTTATTGGCTCACCAGGGAAGTTATGGGATTGCAGGGTTCATAATATGAAGAATTTTTTTTCCCCTCATCATAAAAACTACAAGATATATTTGAGGTATTTTAAGTAGGAACCGTAAATCTTTGAATCAGTTTTTTGGGTGTTTTGTTTTGTTTTTGTTTTTGTTTTTTTTCAAAAGGAAATAGAAAGAGATGCGACCTTAGGGGGCAGAAATTCAGGTGTGTGTTGCAATTGTCCAGGCAGAAATGATGAGTGCTTCCACTCCATTTTTGTTGTGTGGAGACCAAGGAGAGGTGGGACGGGTGGCTGAGATTAGGAGGATGTGACATGGTGGCATCTGTGAGAAGAGATTCAAGAGGAAGAAGATGGATTAAAATCAGTCTGAAGGGTTGCATCTCGGTGGCAGAGTCTGTTGACTATCTGATTCTTGGTTTTGACTGAGGTCACCATCTCATGATCATGAGATCGAGGTCCACATTGGTCCCTGCGCTCAGCAGGGAGGCTGCTTGAGATTCTCTCTCCCTCTCCCTTTACCCCACTAAAATAAATAAATAAATCTTTAAAATAAAATAAAATCAGTTTGAAGGTAGAATCAGCTGTCCTCTGACTGATTTGATGTGAACATGAGCAAAGATGGAGTATGATTCTCAGTTTAATGGCCAGCATCACTAAGTGGGTAGAAATAGCACATATGGGGAAGTAAGCTAGAAGACAATGCAACCTGTTATAGGATAGGGATGGGCTGTTGGAACACACGGAGTTAAAGGTAACTGGAAGCCTTCTAGGTGAAGGGGCTAGTAGGCAGTTGAGTGAGTACACCAGTCTCTAGGGAGAGAGCTCTGAGCTAAAGGTGGGACTTCCAAGTGAAGAATATATGAGTAAACATTGATTCTAAAGATCCTATCTCTAGCCCTTCCTTTATATAATCATTGTAAATGAATCCACTCAAGGAATCTAAGTAGATGAGAAGTAAAGAGAATCCACAATAGCTTTTAGAGAACACCAGCATTTAAGATGAAAAGAGAAGAGCAGGAGAAGGAAGCACATTTGGAAGTCATGGTCAGGGTAGTGCCAAAGGTAATAGTGAGAATGATTTAGAAGAGTCCACTGAAGTATTGTTCAGGAAGGAGGGGTAATTCAACACTCAAGTGACAAAGCTCCCATAACTGATAGGATTTGCAATAAGGAAGTCATCCATAGCCATAATTAGAGCAATGCCGGGCACTGAGTTGATTGCTTTACATGGGGAATTGCGCTTAATTTATACACAGCTGATGAGGCAGGTAATATAATCCTAATTTTACAGATGACAAAACAGTAGCTTAACTAACTGACTCAGAGACACACAACAAGTCAGATTCACACCTAGGAAAGCTGATGCTGAAAACTGCACTCTGAGTAATTAAGCTCCACTGTGCCACCCACTGACACATGTAATTATTTTCAATTCAGCACTTGCCAGTTCAGGATTATGTGGGGGTTTTTGTCCTCCAATGTTTCATAAACACAAATAATAATTCTCCATTGTTATTCTGAGGCATCCTTAGGACTGAGACATACCATATGCTTCTATGTGTTCCCTGAGTTTTTAGACCCAAACCAGGTATATACCCATAGGTGTCTTATCAATAAACAATACTGAAGAAAAATGAGCATTTAAGGTGTTATTATAAAGGCAGACCAGCCAGACTGTCCTCCAATGACACAAATAATGGATCGAAAGAGCAATATAACTATTGACTATGCTCCTTGCTTCTAAGCACAGATCATTATACTTCTCTAATGATTAAGGTGTGAAATTTCCAAGGTGATGAGAATAGCCACACACCGACCTTAATACAACCATAATGGGTTAATAATGCATCTTCCATTCTCAATGCATGAAAAAGCAAGCCACATGAATTACACAAAAGAGGTCTAACTCGCATCTCTGGTGGGCAGTTCCTTTGAGTTTAGAGTCTGGAACAAACTATTGGGGAAGGAGAATACTTTTCATCTTCCAGCTAATAAGTAAATCACCCATTGTTTTGTATTTTAGAACATCTGAACAGCATCTCAGAGCTCTGGAAAGGCTTTATTTCCTAGTTCCACTGGCACACAAGCCATGGTCTTAATTGTGTACATAATCTCTTAAATAAGCAATGCCATGGACTTTGCACCCTTCTGAAAAAGTGGGCACTATAGATGTCTTTTGCATAGAACCGGCTGCCCTGGTTCAATTAGAGGAAAAATAAATCTTACCATTTTGATGACAGCCCATGCAACCAACTAGGCAATATAGCTGGCTTTGAGAAAATGGAATCTTGTGTTCTTTGACAGTGTAATTATTACTCTCTGTCAGCTTATTCTACTTTTTCATAAAAATCACTTAATACTTCACAAAGATATTACTTTTGCCATCAAATATCACTTTGGGAACTGTTAATAATTTAGGAACTTCTATATTAAAAATGGCTAATTCTATAAATGCATGAGATGCCATAACCTGAGAATTCCCCTATCCTGAAAGTTCTGTTTTAATAGTCTGCTCCCAATTTAGGACATTAGAGAGAGCCGGGGTGGGGGTGCTGCACTGAGGATCTACTTTTTGTACCT